GCATTCTGTGTGCGGGACTGCTGCTCCATCCAGCAGCTGGGAAGCATTCGGCACAGTCCGATGCCTGGAGGCTGGATTTAGACAGCTCCAGCCTTGAAATAAGAGCCGCTAACTGCCCGGCTATTTAGATACTGAGAGAGTTCACTGGGGAGGTGATGGACTTACCCTACCTCAAAGCAAAACTGGAGAGCTTTGCAAAGTGTGTTGAAAGGCAGCTTTTGGGTAAAATACTCCAGCGTGTACATGTGTAAGAGGGCAAAATGAGAGGCAGCTGCAGCTCCTGGGAGCAGGGTACACGAGTTACAGCTTCTCCTCAGGGCCCTCAGCTTTCCATTCACCCTGCTCTGCTCTCAGGACCAGGATCTACCAGGAAAGAAGAGCTCTTCACAGGCCTTTTGTCCTTCCTCTTCCAGGCTGTAAATTAGCTTGTCTGCTCTCCACTACTACACAGATTTGGAGCACAGGGTCGCTTCGGTCTGCTTTACTCCTTCCTTGCTGCATGCAAGACTTCAGTCTCTTGAGGAGTGAAACAGTTTGCTGAAGGTTCAAGAAAGAACAAGATGGTACAATGACCGTGACACACAGGCACGAGTGAGACACACGTCCCCCAGAGAAGTCTGGCCCAGATAATGTACTTTCTGCTTCACCAGAATGGTGAAAATCTTTATGTAAGGTGTAAATGCATGTTCAGTGTAGGTTCATCTCCATTCTCCTTTCCTCACTTTGTGACCTGAACAGCAACTGATGAAACTTGGAGGTTTTATAACTCAAGCCCTTGCAACAGGTCTTGCAAAATATCCAGAAGAAGGATTAACGCGCACATTAGCTCCTGAATAAACTCCCTGTGACAGCTACAAGTTTCACACCACTGCAAATCTCTTGAGGTCCAAGCTCTAATGGCTGCCATAGAGAAAAATGGTCCCCTGAACCTTCATGCTGCTAATTTTAGCTCAGATCAGATTTTCATAACTTTTTAAGGGACTCAACCAGAGCAACTGTGTTGACAACAAGAGGGAATTAAGTTCTTACGGTACATACAAGGTTCTCAGATGCTGGCATGCCAGAGCCATACAAAAAGCCAAACCAAGGCTGAAGTAGAGCCTCATCTTTTGCTTAATTGGAAATTCCTGCCCATAACCAGCTGTTCCTAATACTGAGACACAATAAAGATAGAAATCCTAAAAAATCCCTTGTATTCATAAATTCAAAGTGGCATGTTATAACCCCTTTGGATTTCTCCAAACCACAGGCCCAAGGAATTCAAGGCTGCACAGTTCACATGTATTTACACATGCCTTGCCTAAAAATGTGAAAAAGACATCACAGAAGGACTTATTTTCGAGCATCTGCCCTCAAACTTATGTCAGCACAAGGAGGATCAGCTGTCAGACTGCCAGCCCCAGCAGACAAACCGGCTCCCAACGATGTATTCCTCTGTCTCTGCAGCCAGGCTCAGTCTGAGATTTTGCTTTGCTGAGGAGACACTTCTAAAGGTGTTTGCCCATTTCAAGACTTTGACACTTATTTCTTTGTCCAACCATTGAACTGCAGGCAGAAAAAAAGAGCATTTCATAAAGGCCATGTCCCCTGCTTCCGTACAGCCATCTCTGCCAGTCCCATATGCATCCCTATCTTCCAGAAGAGAAGTCTCTCTTCTGCAATAAGACAACTTATCATTGAAGTCCAATCCAAGTGGGATTAGACCCCACAGAAGCCTCCTGGCCATCCTGTGTAGCTGATTGCTACTACAAGAAATCCTATTTCCTTATCACATTGTGATTTATGGAGCTCAGTCCTGGGTTTTCACCTGTCACTCTCCCGGCTGGCAGGTTGTTGCTGAACCTTCCACCTGTGATGGTTTCAAACCTCTTCCAGTTTCCTGCCTGAATGCATTTGGAGACAGTTTAGGTCTACGTTCTTGGGCTAAAGCTGGAGCTTGGATAACTGCTTTTCCCCCTCTAATGAACAGGGGGAGGAACAATTCTAATGAACAATTCGCTAGGCTGGACAAACTAAGCTCTTGTAGGCTCCTCAACAAAATAACATTTCCAGTGTTCTTCCAGTTTATACCCCTCTTTCTTGAGCAGACATGTCATACTACATCTACGTAGTTAGTTTAACAGAAAAAATTTTATCATACCTTATACAATAAATTTTTAAATTACTATCCTAATCCCTGTGTTATAAATGTATTTAGAAATATATTGTGTTTATGGCTTTTGAGTAAAGCCCTTTTTAGTCTTACACACTGATGAGCCATAATATAAGGGATAACTTCCAGCTCCACTCCTCATTACAATGTTTGGATCAGTATCTGTGAACACAGGACCAATAATTTTTTTTTTTGTCTTCAGCACTGGACACTGAGTAACCAATACGATTTTCACTGGTAACAGGTACCACAGACCAGCTGATGCCTGAGTTAGTGTCCAGGAATACAGTCAGATCTTATAGCTTTGAGTCAATTCCCCTCTAAATGACAGTAATTTAAGCTTTGGATTGAAGGGACTCTTCAAATACTGAAATGACCTGTGGACACTGCCAAAAAACGATGTCATGTTTGCAGGCCAGCTCCTCCCCACTGAAATTCTGTAAATTGCTGTGCTGAGTGAGACGTGAGCGCTGTCTCCCAAGAATAGCGAGGTAGGAAGGCTGTCGTCCAAGTAAAATAAGAAAATTGCATTAGTCTTTCAGGGGAACACTTACCTCCCCAGTTCATATACTGCACAGAGATTTTAATAAAGTAGAATATTGCGGAAAAAGTTGTTTCATTTAATCTGTGTCACGTCCAAAAAAATACAACAGCGAAACAGCAGGAGACAGAGAAAAATTCTCTGCCTGTTCAATCTGTATTTTCAGCCCAGTCTGACAGCAGTACCCTCAGCCAGAGCAGAGCCCACCAGTTGCTCCATGGCAGGCACCAGCCTTGCAGAGGCTCCACATCACGTGCACATCCCTGACTCACTGACCAAAAAGCCACACATCTGTCTGCAGACTTACACATTCCCAGTGAATTGCTGCAGAGGCATCTCCTACCCCCATGGGATGTAAATGGCCCCTCCTGCACTAAGGGACAGCCACAGGGGTCATTCTATGATTCCATGAAATTCAGGGTGCTGCTCTTCACCCAGGGACAAACCCCAGGCCTGCCGTGTGGCTCTTGCACAGCCCAGGGAAGTAACACCTCGCTTTTGTCATCTTACTGGCTCATTTAACTCGTGAAAAGTCATGAAAGGGCTGGCAGATGAGCTCTGCTGGATGGATTTCAGAGCCTGTCTCTGGCTCTGCTTATGGCTGCTCTTCATCTCCATGGTGATTAGAAACAGGTCTGAAGTGGCAAATTTGCTGAAAGGCCCAGTGATGCAGTCTGAGGAGTGTACTGAGACAACGAGCATTCAGGCTGAGGAGCACCATGACCTGTGCAAGAAATAAATGCCGGAAGAACCTAAAAATACATTAACCTGAGTAATGCATGAGATGTCAGTAGCTACTGGTAGAGCTAATGGACTTCTATTTCCTCCTAAGCATCCCAAACTCCCTGATGTCACACTTAAAGAGCACAGAAGGGATCAAAGAAGCACACAGGTCTCCTGGAGTATGTCACTACCATGCTAAAAGTGGGTTTCAATCACTGCCTACGCCATGATGGAGTCATTAGAGACCATGTCTACCTGGTCAGGTCCCACCTGTCATTAAATACCTGTATTTCCACGCAAAGCTGCAGGAAATGGGCCAGCTTGTGCTCCAGAAGCTGCAGACATGCCTGGTCAGAAACCAGCAATGACAGCAGGTGGCACCACCTTGGGTATGGTCCTCCAACAGGACCCCCAAACCCAACCAGTTCATGCTGCCACAGCATGAAGGACCAGCAGAACTTATTCAGAACCATCTGCATTTCTCCACACGCCATGTCTTGTGCCTCCTGTGAGGCAAAAAGAGAGCCTTGACATAAGGAAGGTGACAGAACATGAGGCTGCTGCCTGATTTGCACGGTTGAATGGCACCAAATGAAACACATGGTGCTGTGGAGTTTCAAGTGAGCACTGAGCGAGGCTTATAAAGACAAGGGGAAAAAAAAAAAGAAACAAGCCACCAAACAACTGGATTTTCTCTAATCAGACAGATAATATTTACAGCCTACGAGTGGTGCCAAAATATTTCAGGAAATTCCTAAGCCTGTCTGAATAAAAGCACAGGAAAACACAGTACTTAAGGACAGCAACTAAGGCAGTAAGAACGAAAGCTTTCCACCCCCTTCCAGCCTCCTTACAGTTTAAAATTATTGCCATATCACATCACGCTGCAATTACCAAGGCTAAGCTCATTTTGCCATCTCCACTGCAAACGAAGTTCTGAGTTGTACATACAAAAGACCAGCAGAAAAATCAAAGGAATCATGTAAACTGGAAGGAGCAGAATTAATGCACGCTCCACACAGCACACTTAGGTCTAATCCATCCCACTCAATCCTGCACCAAGAGACTTGAGCTTTATTTAAGCTATTCCTTCCAGTACGGCATAAACATCATGCTTGGAAAACCCAAACCACAAAGCTTTTGGCCCATTTTTCAGAGTTATCTACCAGCTTTGACTGTCTGCCATGGACTTACCACAGAGAGAAGCAGTCCAGGAGGGCAGAACACAAGCACTGAGCGCCTGGGACTGGAGTCCCATCACTTTATTCCCACTGAAACATTAGATATGTCTTTTCCCTTGTACAACCACAAGAAATCTCATCCTGGAGGTTTTTGTTTCCCCCCTCTCAATTACCAATTACATCCACAGACGTAGAGAACCACAGGTCCTGCAAGGATCACGTGTTTGTTTTGCTCCATTTTGTTCCATTCAGACCAGACCCGTCCCTGCAAGTCTCTCTAGTGCACCCAGAAACAACCACATGCAACAAGTGCTCACACCTCTAGAAGAAAAATCAGGTAAAGTATTTCCAGAGAACATGCAAAACAAATTATTTCCTGCTAGCTGGGTGGTGTCATCATTACCTGCTCAGGCTTCAGGCCGGGGGGGACCCAGGCGTACTCCTCCAAAGCACAGCCTGAGTCGTCGTCAGAAGTTGAATTCCTCTGGAAGTCAAACATGAGCTTCGTGACTGTCTTCTCCATCTCCAGAGGCATAACTGTTACAATGTGCTCTTCCTGGGAGCACTTACAGTGAAGGCAGATCTTCCTGTAAGGTGAGGAGAGAGAAAGACATGTGCTGGTGAGCAGTGCTTTCAATGAGAAACTGATTCCTGCCAGTCGCTGGCCTGCAGAGACTAAACTCAACCCTTTCTTATCCTCAGGCATTTTCTAACACAGGATTTGTCTCTCTTATGAGGAGGAAATAAAAGTCCATATTTGCTGTAACAACTCTTGACAATCCATCTGAGTCAGACTGCCCAATGTTTGGGGATATGCAATTGCTTGTCCCTTTACTGCACCACAAAGTATTTCCAGAGGCCAGCACAGGCACAGGCCATGCCTGGTGGGGTGTGACTTGCCAGTCAGAATTGCAGTCATTACTGAATTTAGGACTATTGAGCACTTTGCTAAAATGGGAAATGGTGGATTGACTGGGAAGCTGTGAATGACGAGTCTCTTTAGCATGCTGATAGCATAAATTTAGTTATTAAAGTAGCATAAAAACTGATTATAGTCTGAACGCATAAAGCTAAATTAAATTAAGGGAGGCTACAAAACCCACAGTCACACTGCAATGGAATCTTAACCACCTGGCTCGGTGGTACATGCCACAACTGAGTCTCAGCAGCACGGGGAGGAAAGCACAAGAACTGAAAGAGCAGCCCACAGGTTGCAATTCAACAGCCATTAACTTAATTCGCTGCAAATATCTGTTGTTCTTAACACTTCTTTAAAGGGGCTGTTCTTGCAGCTTGTGGCCTTGGACATTTTCTTCATGGGCTTGAACCTGAACTTTTATCTGGAAGGACAATACAGACTAGTACAATGGTTTGGGTTGAAAGGAACCTTAAATGCCATTCAGTTCCAACATCCATGGGCAGGGACACTTTTTACTAGACTAGGTTGCTCAGAGCTCCATCCAGCCTGGCCTTGAACACTTCAAGGGATGGGACATCTGCAAGTTCTCCAGGCAATCTATTCCAAGGTTTCCCCTCTTACAGTAAAGAATGCCTTCCTAATATCCTAAACTTACTCTGTTTCAGTTTAAATCCATTCCCCCTTGTCCTATCACTATACGCCCTTGTAAAAAGTCCTTCTCCAGCAATCCTGCAGGCTCCTTTGGGTACTGAAAGGCTGATAAGGTCACCACAGAGCCGTCTCTTCTCCAGGCTGAACAATCCCAATTGTCTCAGCCTTTCCTCACAGGACAGGTGTTTCATCCCTCTAATCATCACACCCCTTCGCCACAGTAACAGCGAAGGACAAACCTGGCTGAAAACAGCCCCTGACAAAGAAAAAGAGGTTAAAGGGAACGTTGATAAATTTGCTTCTATTTCTGAAAACTCAATGCTTTTCCACAGGCTGGGTCAACGGTATCTATTTTAGAGCAACCACACAGGATTCTGAATTAATTTGCACTAATGAAGCATCACTGACTTCTGAGGAATGAGATAAGGTTTCACTTGGGTAGCAGAAGGGAGACATCTCAGAAATAATAAGGTACCAGACAAATTCAAATGAAAATTTACAGTTGCCATTGCAGGTTTCTCTGCTCTGCGGTAAAGCAAAGAAATTCAGAGGGAAGCAATAGTTAAACCTGGAGGCTGGAATTTTTAAACACCTTTCCTTCTCTTTCACTGCTGTGCACAAGCCAGCTAAGCATAGCGGTGCTCGGATCCAGCTTCAAGTCTAAATTTCCATTTGGCCATTACAGCACAAAAAACGCACTCTAGCAAAAGTCAAGAGGCTCCGTTAAGTCAAGCCAGGGAGATTTGCCAGATTTTCCCATTTCCTGCCTTTCATCAGATCTAAACCACACAGCAACCCCCACACACTCCAGCGTCTGGTTTGCATCCAGTCGGGGAGTCTCGGCATCACCTCTGGCTGTTTCCTTAAAAAATAATCAAGGTACCATTTCATGTGAATATTTTAATTAATCAGCTACCGTGGAAGGGTGTGAAAGGGGTACTCTGCCTCAGCAAAGTCACTGGTATCATTGCTGTTTCCATCTCATTTCATGATACGATTGAAAGCAGCTTAATAGGAAAGATTTTAAGAATAATTCATAGAGCCCCAGATTTGGCACTGGAGTTAGTTGTTCTAAGGGAGTTCTGGACTTAACCAAATTTTGACTTTTGGGGTATTGATCACGTTTCAAAGGGAGACAAACCCAACAGTCCACTGGGAGCATGAGCATTACGACAGGGAAAAAGCCAGCCCACAGGCTTCTTCCTCCTTCCCACTCCAGATACATCCCTTTCAGGAGATGGGAGATGGCAGGAGAGCATCAGATGCCTTGGCTTTTAATAAATTAGACAAATCAAGACTTGTAATAACAGTGTCCAAGAGTGAATAGGTGAGATATAAGATCAGTTAGAGCCCAGAGATCACTCCCACCCTCCCCCAGCTCACACCATGTGCAGCAAGGAGCTTGAGGACCGGGTCAGGAAGCTGGTTTACCCCACCCTCTCTCCTGCCCCATCCCAGGCAAGCAAGTACTGCCAGTGAGTGGCTTCCCTGGTCAGACAAGCAAAGGATGAAAACAGGTAGCCTGTCTACTCAGTAGTGATGTCCCCAAGCCAGAACAACTTTGCACCATTAAAACTTGACCATCTCCAGGCGTGGGGTTTCTGCCACCTCCCATGGCAAACTATACAAAATTCCAGATCTTGCCTCTGAGATATTCAGCTTTTCCCCCCTCATAAAAGCAGATGATTAACAGCTTTAATTACAATTTTCTTTACATTAGGATATGTTGTTTCATGGGAACAATACCCAGTGTCCTAGGAGTGTCTTTCCACGCCTATGATCAGGTTTCCATGACTTCTTCACATATGTCTCACTTACTCAACTTTATTTTATCATCTTCCAGCGCACTATAATTAAAAATAATTCCCCATAGCAAAAATTTAATATCAGAATGTACATTTCAAATGTGAGATGAAATTGAAAAAGAAACGTTTTCCCCTGCCACGCTCAGAGCAGAGCAGCACAAAGCAAGACAACGCACGTGTCAGCACTCGCGGTGCCTGCGGTGACCACAGCGACAATGTGGGTGCCACAGCAGAGAGCTGGTGGGTGTTGGAGAGGAGCAGGGCCATGGCTAGCAGCCTGCCTGGCTGCTCCTGCCAGCAGCAGCTCATTTGTCACAGCACAGCCTCCAGAGATGCTCAGCACATCAGTGTGTCACACACCTTACCCTGGACAAGGAGCTGCTGCCCACCTGGGGTGGCACCTCCTCCAAGGGAAACCCATTGGTGTGGCTCTCAAGCCTCACCACCACCAAAGCCTCAGCAACAACCTCTGCTGCCTGTGCAGCCTTGCACAACTTGAGAAGAGTGTAGACAAGTGGGGATTTTTTAGCAAGAATAAATTAACACCAATCACTGTCTGGAAATCCCATCTTCATTCATGAGCCTTTCCATCTTGCTCTCATCCCAGGTCTGCAGGCTTGGCTCAGGGAAGAACCTGCCCTGGTGACTCAGAGGTATCACCAGCACTGGGGAGGAAACAATGATGGCTGACAGCACGACTGGCTTTGAGCACAGAGGGTGAATAAAGGAGCTTTTAAGCAGCTGTAGCTTGTGGACAGGGAGGAGAGGCAAGGGGGAGCCAGCCGGCAGGCAGGCTGCTGCAGGAGGCACGGGCTGGGGAGCATCGGCGGGGCTGCTCAGCACAGAGCTGCACACAGAGCTGTCCTCTAGTGGGGCCAGGACGGCGGGAAGCAAACGGGGAGAAAAAGAACATTTCCTGGTGTCAGATTTAGCTGGAAAGGAGCCTGCCTTGAATTGACTTCACATGGTACAAAGCAGCAACGTCTCAGAAAGAGACTGAAAAATTTCTTCTCCTCAAGGCCAGCTAAGTTACAAGATGGATGTGTTTTATTTTGCATTGGCTGCTTTTACGTGGTGCTCCTGGCACAGTGGGCAAGTCCTCTCCTCAGAGGAGACTTTAAGCCTATTCCTGTTCACATCCCTACCCAGACACTGGTGCAGGAGGAAGGTGATCCACCACTCCATGCCAGCCCTTTTCTCTCCACAGATGAAAACAGGCACACAAGGGGAATCTAAAGCAAACAGGACCCAACACACCAAGCAGAGAACTCGGCTTCAAAGAACCTCTTGCTTGGGATGCAGAAGTACACTCCCAGCTTCGGTCCACTTACGAGGATTTTGACACAAACCCAATTGACCCACGAGGTCTCTGGGACGAGGCAGCCCCTTGTTGTACAACCCTGTTAGCAAAGCACAGCCTCTGCCATCTCTGGAGCCTCCCTCAGCCCTTTCATCTCAGCAATGGCACAAAAAAAAAAAGCTAAACCATGCTGAAAACACTAGTGCTGTGCAAGAGGCTCTGGAGAGAGCTGTGAGTGTGACCCCAGCTTTCTGAAGAGAGATGAGGTCTCCCTGCTGTGAAAAAACAGCTGAATCCAACTGGGGAAAAGCAAGAGCAGAACTAAAAAGTCAGGGAAGGGAGATGGAGGGCAGCCTGTGACCAAGGCAAAGGGTGTCCTTGCCAATAGTGTGTAGCTCCAGCAAAGGAGCCAGGTAAGCTGGCCTCTCGCAGGGAGCAGCCTGAGTGTCAGGCTTTGGGGTGCACAGGCAGGATGGGACTCCCTAGGATGTTGAGGACAGCATAACCCTGCCTGCAGGAAAACTCCTGGCCACAAAGCTCGTCTCTTCCTGTTTAGCAGGTGGGTATACAGAATATAACACAGCAAACAGCGCCGAGGCAAAGCCTGCCCAGGCTGGGACCCACGGATATTCTGAGAAAGGGCAGAGCCCAACGCCTCCCAGCAACAGCAGGAATGAAGGCAGAGTTTAAAATTGTGGCAGAAATGTTAAAATTCCTCTTGGACAAAGAAGGAACTCGGTAAACAGCCCTTATCACCCCCAGCGGGTGCTTATCTCTGCTTCTCACTTGCTTCTTCTGGGATGGAAATAAATGGGCTGTATCAGGGAGCAGCTCCCTCTCCAGACAAAGCGAGGAGCCCAAATGCCATGGCCGTG